AGCACGCACACTCCGCTCCTCACAAGACCTCCTTCTCTCTAGTTCCCTGGTCTCCTCCTCCCATGCCCACCTCCAGGACTTCTCCAGGGTGTCACCCATCCTCTGGAACTCCCTGCCCCAACCCATCAGATTATCACCTACTCTCCTCTCCTTTAGGCGCACCCTGAAAACCCATCTCTTCAGGGAAGCCTACCCCACCCCCTGCTAACCTGCCGACCTCCTCCACTCTTCCTACCACTCCATCCCCCACAGCTATCTCCTCCTGTGCCACCATCCCCTCCCTCCTAGATTGTAAGCTCGAAAAAAGCAGGGCCCCCGATCCCCTCATGTTTTACATTGTATTGGTATTGTTCTGTCACATGTTCTGTCCCCTTTGTAATGTACAGCGCTGAGCGAACTATTGGCGCTTTATAAATACTGTATAATAATAATAATAATAGTTTTGGGATTTTTTTCCAGCAAAAAAAAGTTGATTGCAGTCTATGTGTTCATGTACACATAGGATAACACGCTGGGGATGGACACATAGGAGAACATGCCGGGGATGGACACATAGGATAACATGCCGGGGATGGACACATAGGAGAACATGCTGGGGATGGACACATAGGATAACACGCCGGGGATGTACACATAGGATAACACGCTGGGGATGGACACATAGGATAACATGCTGGGGATGGACACATAGGAGAACATGCCGGGGATGGACACATAGGATAACATGCCGGGGATGGACACATAGGAGAACATGCTGGGGATGGACACATAGGATAACACGCCGGGGATGTACACATAGGATAACACGCTGGGGATGGACACATAGGATAACATGCCGGGGATGGACACATAGGATAACATGCCGGGGATGGACACATAGGATAACATGGCGGGGATGGACACATAGGATAACATACCGGGGATGGACACACAGGATAACATGCCGGGGATGGACACATAGGATAACATGCCGGGGATGGACACATAGGAGAACATGCCGGGGATGGACACATAGGATAACATGCCGGGGATGGACACATAGGAGAACATGCTGGGGATGGACACATAGGATAACACGCCGGGGATGTACACATAGGATAACACGCTGGGGATGGACACATAGGATAACATGCCGGGGATGGACACATAGGATAACATGCCGGGGATGGACACATAGGATAACATGCCGGGGATGGACACATAGGATAACATGCCGGGGATGGACACATAGGAGAACATGCCGGGGATGGACACATAGGAGAACATGCCGGGGATGGACACATAGGATAACATGCCGGGGATGGACACATAGGAGAACATGCCGGGATGGACACATAGGAGAACATGCCGGGGATGGACACATAGGATAACATGCCGGGGATGGACACATAGGATAACATGCCGGGGATGGACACATAGGATAACATGCCGGGGATGGACACATAGGATAACATGCCGGGGATGGACACATAGGATAACATGCCGGGGATGGACACACAGGATAACATGCCGGGGATGGACACATAGAATAACATGCCGGGGATGGACACACAGGATAACATGCCGGGGATGGACACACAGGATAACATGCCGGGGATGGACACATAGGATAACATGCCGGGGATGGACACATAGGATAACATGCCGGGGATGGACACATAGGATAACATGCCGGGGATGGACACATAGGATAACACGCCGGGGATGTACACATAGGATAACACGCTGGGGATGGACACATAGGATAACATGCCGGGGATGGACACATAGGATAACATGCCGGGGATGGACACATAGGATAACATGCCGGGGATGGACACATAGGAGAACATGCTGGGGATGGACACATAGGATAACACGCCGGGGATGTACACATAGGATAACACGCTGGGGATGGACACATAGGATAACATGCTGGGGATGGACACATAGGAGAACATGCCGGGGATGGACACATAGGATAACATGCCGGGGATGGACACATAGGAGAACATGCTGGGGATGGACACATAGGATAACACGCCGGGGATGTACACATAGGATAACACGCTGGGGATGGACACATAGGATAACATGCCGGGGATGGACACATAGGATAACATGCCGGGGATGGACACATAGGATAACATGGCGGGGATGGACACATAGGATAACATGCCGGGGATGGACACACAGGATAACATGCCGGGGATGGACACATAGGATAACATGCCGGGGATGGACACATAGGAGAACATGCCGGGGATGGACACATAGGATAACATGCCGGGGATGGACACATAGGAGAACATGCTGGGGATGGACACATAGGATAACACGCCGGGGATGTACACATAGGATAACACGCTGGGGATGGACACATAGGATAACATGCCGGGGATGGACACATAGGATAACATGCCGGGGATGGACACATAGGATAACATGCCGGGGATGGACACATAGGAGAACATGCCGGGGATGGACACATAGGAGAACATGCCGGGGATGGACACATAGGATAACATGCCGGGGATGGACACATAGGAGAACATGCCGGGGATGGACACATAGGAGAACATGCCGGGGATGGACACATAGGATAACATGCCGGGGATGGACACATAGGATAACATGCCGGGGATGGACACATAGGATAACATGCCGGGGATGGACACATAGGATAACATGCCGGGGATGGACACATAGGATAACATGCCGGGGATGGACACACAGGATAACATGCCGGGGATGGACACATAGAATAACATGCCGGGGATGGACACATAGGATAACATGCCGGGGATGGACACATAGGATAACATGCCGGGGATGGACACACAGGATAACATGCCGGGGATGGACACATAGGATAACATGCCGGGGATGGACACATAGGATAACATGCCGGGGATGGACACATAGGATAACATGCCGGGGATGGACACATAGGATAACACGCCGGGGATGTACACATAGGATAACACGCCGGGATGGACACATAGGATAACATGCCGGGGATGGACACATAGGATAACATGCCGGGGATGGACACATAGGATAACATGCCAGGGATGGACACATAGGAGAACATGCCGGGGATGGACACATAGGAGAACATGCCGGGGATGGACACATAGGATAACATGCCGGGGATGAACACATAGGATAACACGCCGGGGATGGACACATAGGATAACATGCTGGGGGAGTTTACTGGCCGTAGAAAAAAATGTCAAAAGCCAAAAAGAGCCGCTGTAAAAAACGTCCCGTGTGCATGAGGACTAATTTCCCATCTACATTCAGATGCCATTGTAATGAGATAATCAATGTTATTCACTTTAGCTGTCACTAGTCATAATGATATGGCCGATTGGTGTATACCTGTTGTTAGGGAAAGAAAAAAATGCCTCTGATAAATTGAACTTCAGATAAAGAAAGAAGGCCCTGAAGTGAATTAACCAATAAAGTCAGCCACAGTAAAGTTCATGTAACAGTCTACATTCCGATGTGGCCACATCTTATAGTGCTTTATTTACTCTGATATGCTTGTTGAGCCATCTTCCACGAATGCTGATTCCAAAACAAATAAAGCCAGCAAACCATCCATCACTGGAGAGAAGCAGACAAGAAAATATTTTCTTTCTTTTGGGTTTTCTTGTTTGGTTTTTAACTACCTATATCAAAAAAAAAAAAAAAAAAAAAAAAAGTTCCATTTTTATGTACTTTATACTTTGCACAGAACCTTTTATGGCACAGATGGTCTGGATTTGTGGGCTTTACAAATAAAAGGAGAATGCAGAAAGAGAGCATATGGGTGCAATCTCCTCTGCTCATCATTCAAGGCCAAGAGAAGCCTCAAAAAATGTTCTTAAATGTCAACTCGCGATTTTCCCCATAACTATGGAATATGTTAGAAGCTCGGCTGGGTGATTATTTGAGGCTGAAATCACAACATTGCATATTAAATAGCTTCACCGTGTGCTTTATGTGTTCAATCTGTAAATTATCGGAAATATTAAAAATGAAGGCGAGATGGATTGAAACATGAAGGACAACAAGTCAATATCATTTTAGAATTTAGGTGTCCGTTTATGAACCAGCGGTAAATGATCGCTGCTCAGTTCTCCGGAATTCTCAGAGAACACAGTTCTCCTGCAAAAGAAATGCCCGCAGCGATAAAAGAAGAAAAGAATTAGCGAAGGGCAGGCATGACTAGGCCCAGAGTGGGAAGGAAGACGTGTGAGGGTTAATGATTGTTTAGAGTTGGTAAAGGATAGCTGGGGGATCTGGTTGGTAGAGGAGAGTGTAGGTGGGGTCTCCTGCACTTTAGGGTGGGGTGTTCTGGGGAGGGGCGTCAGTTGGGAGCTGGACGTGGGAGAGAGAGCTTCCCTCCCGCCCGCCCTGTTTGGTGAATGTTGTGTTCCTCCTGGGGGGGGGGGGTAATTTGGTTCCTGGGCGGTGGTTGGTCTTTGGAGGCGGTTCTTATCTTGGAGGTACAAAATGGTGTGGGACCCATCGTTGGTATGGTGTGCCCGGGAACATTCCCAGTTAACCGAGGTTTAACTGGAAGGTGGTGGTGCTGCACTGCGGACGGTATGGTTGTCTCCGAGCTGGTTGGTTGCGGCTGGAGGCCTAGTGGAATATGGTTGTCCGCAGGTGCATTTCGGATCGTTTTGGGGTGCCTTCAAAGACCAACGACAACTCTTTATGTTTTCTGTTATAAGGAATGGTTGATGTGTTTAAACTTGATTTGTTAATAAAAGGCCGTGCTGGCCATTTTACTCCAAAATTGGTGTTGTGTTTTCTGTAAGTATAGTAAGTAAAGGGGATTGGTATGGAAGGGTAAAGGGTAACGGTGGTGTAGTGGGGTCTGGATGAACCTATCTCGGGTGCACTAGTCATGCCTTTTATGAAGCAGTGTAGACAGGGGCGGACTGACAACTCATGGGGCCCCCGGGCAATAGGAGATCATGGGGCCTCTGAGTCCTTGCCCAAACTCAAAAAAGTCTATAAAAAAGGTACCAGGGGCATCTCATGGGGCCCCCTACTGACTCCGGGCCCTCGGGCAGTGCCCGAGTTTCCAAATGGTCAGTCCGCCCCTGGGTGTAGATCAGTTCTCCGAACGAAGGGAGAACGATCTACTACAAACGCTGGAAAACGGCTGCTTTTGCTTTTGTGGTTTGATTGTGGGTGAGGATACAGGGCCCCTTATGATCCCCTATTGCCCGGGGGCCCCATGAGTTGTCAGTCTGCCCCTGTATTTAAGGGTTTACAAACACTTTGTCTTGCTGAACCCTCAGTTTTTGCAGGCTTACTCCTCCAGCAAGCTTGTTGTTCCTACAGCAGTCTCTATGATGTAGAATCCATAGGGAACCTAAAGACAGGTGCTGCAGCAAGTGGGCAGAGCGAGGAACTCAACTGAAGGGTCATGCTGCTAAAGTCACTAAAAGATAATAAAAAAATAGCAGATGATTAAATTTGTACTATACCTTATAAATATATCATTTCAGTCTGAAATATTAGTGATAGATAGACTGACCAGGGGCGGACTGACAACTCATGGGGCCCCCGGGCAATAGGAGATCATTGGGCCCCTGAGTCCTTGCCCAAACTCAAAAAAGCCTATGAAAAAGGTACCAGGGGCATCTCATGGGGCCCCTTACTGACTCCGGGCCCTCGGGCAGTGCCCGAGTTTCCAAATGGTCAGTCCGCCCCTGGGTGTAGATCAGTTCTCCGAACGGAGAACGATCTACAAACGTTGGAAAACGGCTGCTTTTACTATAATCTCGCGAGATTACAGTAAAAGATCAGTTTACTAAGCAGAGGTAAATTATCGCTGCTTAGTTTGCGGTTCCTTTTGATTCTCCAGCTCTGGGCTGGAGAATCTGGAGGGAGAACACAGATCGCCAGTGAAGGGCTAACCATGTTCTCCGCTGATCTCCTGAGCAGGGGTGGACTGACCATTTAGAAACTTGGGCATTGCCTGAGGGCCCGAGGTCGGTAGGGGGCCCCATGAGATGCCCCTGGTACCTTTTTCATAGGCTTTTTTGAGTTTGGGCAAGGACACAGGGGCCCCATAATCCCCTATTGCCCGGGGGCCCCATGAGTTGTCAGTCCCCCCCTGCTCCTGAGTGTCATAAACTGTGAATGACCAGAGAATAGCCGCGATCCTCTGAAGAATAGCCGCGATCCTCTGAATCGCAGCTATTCTCTGTGTCATAAACGGACACCATATTTAAGAAGCTGTAGTAGAAAAGTAAGACATAGTTTATTATTATTACAGGTACTTGTATAGTGCAGTCAATTTATGCAGAACTTTACATATACACTCACAAGCCACGTTATTAGGTCCACCTTGCTAGTAATGGGTTGGATCCCTCTGTGCCATCAGAACTGCCTTCATTCTTCATGGCATAGATTCAACAAGGAATTCCTCAGAGATTTTGCTCCATATTGACATGATAGCATCACGCAGTTGCTGCAGATTCATCGGTTGCACATCCATAATGCCAATCTCCCGTTCCACCACATCCCAAAAGAGCTCTATTGGATTGAGATCTGGTGACTCTGGAGGCCATTGGAGTCCACTGAGAAGAAACCAGTTGGAGATGATTTGAGCTTTGTGACATGGTGCATTATCCTGCTAGAAGGAGCCATCAGAAGATGGGGACACTGGAGTCATAAAGGGATGGACATGGTCAGCGACAATACTCAGGTAGGCCATAGTGTTTAAACAATGCTCAATTGGTACTAAGGGGTCCAAAGTGTGTCAAGAAAATATCGCCCACACCATGACACCACCATCAGCCTGAACCATTGATACAAGGCAGGATGGATCCATGCTTTCATGCTGTTTATGCCAAATTCTGACTCTACCATCTGAATATTGCAGTTGAATGCAAGACTCATCAGACCGCCGATAACCAGCATTTCCCTATTTACATGCAACCTGCAGACAATCCTGATGGGCAATTACCTTGGTATCCTGTCCTGCTCACCCAGACTTGTTATCCAAACCGTACAGTGGACATTTATATTTGGATCTGTGTAGATTATTTAAATCCCACCCTGTATTTACCTGTTTCCTGTTTATGACCTTTTAGCTAGATCTTGAGCTCATTTCACAAAGAAATAAAACAAAGGCCTAGTGAATTATCCACAGCACTTTAGTAGCCTCCCTAGCGGTCTGATTATGTTCATATTTCTGTGCTCAAAGCGGTAAATTTTTTTGCATGGAAATATGTTGTTTTTTTATTGTAGGCCTGTAATTTTTAGGAATAACTCACTGAAATCTGTCCGAACAAAAGTCTAGTAAACATCCCGGGTAGGATAAAATTTGAAACACAAAATCATAAATTATAATTTAATAAATAATCATAAAAATAATAATATAATAATAATACATTTAATTCAATAATATATAATCAAACCAAAAACACTGAAATTTGAAATAGAGCGCCAAGTTCGCACATCGCTGAGCAAAGTCGCAGAATCGTTTTCAGTGTCTGATGAGGAATTTCCCCCACGAATCATTATCACTCAATTCTGCAAGTGGTTCTGATTTACTATCGCTGTTCTCTAGCCGGTCTAAAACCGCTTTTGACGTAAAGGGACGCTTTTTGGACACCATGGACGTTTCTCAGTTTCCAGGCAGAAAGAACAGTAAAAATGCAGGCAGGGCGCCGGACAAAGCACTCGGGACAAAATGTATGTGAAATGCTTTGATACAGGAATGTTATACTATGTGATTTTAGTGAATTTAGTGAATATCACTTCTACAATTTTCAAATTTCCCGCCAGTTCCGTCCCCCGTACGTCCCGACGCTCGCAGGGAACGGAACACGGAAGACGGATGCCGGCATCGGCCGGAGGACATTGCCGGGAACACTGCAGGAGGGACATCGCGGGAGCGCAGGACAAAGTAAGTGCAGAAGAGATCCCGGAGCAACACTGCAGTGTATTCCTGAGTGTAGATCAGGGTTACCGCTTGTGGTACTGAAACTTTACCCCGAGCTACACTCGGGAATACCGCCAGGGGGGTTAAAGGATAAAAGAGGGCATACTCACAAAAGTAATGAATGTAACAGTATTGTAAAAGATCTCTAGAGCCAGAAGGTCTTTAACACAGAAAAATCCATATGGTACAACTGAACATTGTAAACCAACTGGTGCGTTTTGGGGGTTACAGAGTTTGTGGCTTGACAAGTTTCCCTGATCTCGGGAGGGCAGCGTGAGCTTTATGCACTAGTGTTGTTTGGTCATAGATGGTCACCATCTGTGGTAGGCAGTTGGTCTGGTCTCAACAGAATCCCCAAGTGCCGTGCTGTCAAGCTATTACAGGCATACCTTGGTTTAGGAATGCCTTGGTTAATGTCATTTTCGGTTTACGAATGAAAATCCATTGAAAATAATGCCTCAGTTTACCCCACCAGGTGCACTGGGAGGTTTATAGCGCCGGCCCCGTGCCTTTAAAGTGCACTTTATAAAGAGTTTTGAACAGAAAAGACTTTTTTTTACTTTTTTCTGACCTCCGGAACGGATTAATTGGTTTTCAATGCATTTACAATTTTTTTTTCGCTATACGAAGCAAGTTTCCCCAGGATGAATTGTGCCTGGGAGGTCTATAGCGCTGGCCCCGTGCATGCTGGAGTCTGTGGGTAGCATGTGGCATCGAGTATGGAGGTGTTGTGGTGGTTTTTCCATCGAGTTTTGGAGCCATTCTGGAAATTTTTAATCATGTCCCTGTACAGTATTTATGCCTTTAACCTCCTCGGTGGTATGATTCCGATTTTTTGTGCTGAAAGCGGTACCATTTTTTTGCATGGAAATATGTAGTTTTTCATTGTAGGCTGTAATTTTTAGGAATAACTCACTGAAATCTGTCCGAACAAGAGTCTAGTAAACATCCCGGGTATGATAAAATTTGAAACACAAAATCATAAATTATAATTTAATAAATAATCATAAAAAATAATAATAATACATTTAATTCAATAATATAATCAAACCAAAAACAATGAAATTTGAAATAGAGCGCCAAGTTCACACATTGCTGAGCAAAGTCGCAAAATCGTTTTCAGTGTCTGATGAGGAATTTCTCCCACGAATCATTATCACTCAATTCTGCAAGTGGTTCTGATTTACTATCGCTGTTCTCTAGCTGATCTAAACCGCTCTTGACCTAAAGGGACGCTTTTTCGACGCCATGGACTTTTCTCAGTTTCCAGGCAGAAAGAACAGTAAAAATGCAGGCAGGGCGCCGGACAAAGCAGTGGGGACAAAATGTATGTGAAATGGGTTGAAACAGCAATGTTTTGCTATGTAAAATGTTTCTGGAAAAAAATGACATTTTTTAAAATTTTCAAATTTCCCGCCGCCGCCAGGGGGCGGCGGCGGCGCCGTACATCCCAATGTCACAGGGACCGGAACACAGAAGCTGGATGCCGGCATCGGCCGGAGGAGATGGCCGGGGATGCTGCAGGGGATGCATCGCGGGAGCGAAGGACAAGGTAAGCTCTGCAGGGACCCCCTATGCAGCGCCGCATGGTAAGCCCGAATGTAGCTCAGGGTTACCGCTTTTGGCACTGACATTTTACCCCGAGCTACACTCGGGAATACCGCCAGGGAGGTTAAAGTGCACTTTATAAAGAGTTTTGAACAGATAAAAGACTTTTTCTTTTTACTTTTTTCTGACCCCCGCAACGGATTAATTGGTTTTCAGTGCATTCCTATGGGAAACTTTGTTTCGGTTTTCGAATTTTTCGCAATATGAAACTTTGCGGAGAATGCATTAAATTTGTAAACCAAGGTATGCCTTTACTTTGATGAATGAAATCTTGAGCTAATTTGTCTGAAGCCAGTCCTTATATCTGTCTGTAACATGTAGCACTATCTCCTTCAAGAGCTGTTGGAATGCTGGGTTCTCCTTCCGTTCACAGTGGTGATCGCTGGGCTGCAAATCCCCAAGATAACAACAAGAGGTGTGTAGCACTACCCCCTTAGAAGTTGCTGAGTTATTTTCTGGCTCCCTGTCATTCTGGACCCCTCTCTGAAAGCCCACCCCCTGCTGACACAAGGTTCCTTTGACCAGAGTAAACTCACACCAGAAAGTAGACTCACACACAGGTTAGAGAAAACTGATTTGAGGTTTATATTAAACTTCAATGTAAATGTGGTTGAACACTACAAAG